GAGCGGCCGCGAGCGCGAGAACCGCAAAGTACCGACCGTCCATCAACGACGACGACGACGAAGAGGAGGAAGAGGAGGAGGTGAAAGGGAGCAGATCATCACAAGGCCAAATGTCTGCTCCGTTCAGAGCGGAGACTTGAACCAAGAGGGTGGAATGGACCAATCCGACGGCGTGCAAGCCGGGCCGGACTCGAGCTCGGATCAACTCGTGAGCCAGATCCGGCCAAGCCGACTCGTCCGAGGCCGGTCGTCGAGGCGGCCAGTCGAGCCGGAAGTTGGCCCGTCCCGGTTGCGAGGGGCAGTCGAGCAGGGGCCCGACGACGAGGGCGTTCTCGCGCCGCACCGCCCCCACCAGACCGAGCAACACATCGGCCTCCGTGAGGAGGACATCGGCGTCCAACAGCAACAGAAAGTCGACTGCCAAACGCCGACCGGCCGACACCGCCGACTGGTACAGTTGGGCAACGTGGATCTGCCGACCCGGCGGCCAGGCGTTAACCCCCTCCGCACAATCCACCGGCCCTGCCTCCCGGCATGTTGGCTGCTCCCTTCTCGACGTGTTGGCATGGCAACAGTCGGCATCACCGACGTACTTCATACTTTTCTGTTGCTCCTGCGCCATTCCATTTGCTGTTGGACCGAATGCTCTCTCTCCACCGCCGGCGTGGGCATAGTCGACACTGGCGTACGCGGAAGCCCAGCCGGCCAGCCACTGTTCAATCTGTCTGGGGCTGTCGTCAAGGTTACAGTCGGTACGGAGGAAGAGGTGAATTTGCCGTTTCGGATAGTCGAGACGCTCCAGACAGCCAAAAACATAGCGCAGGAGGTGGGCTTTGTTTCGCACTAACATCACCAAAAGAAGGCTTGGCAACTCGGTTTCGTCTCGCCCTGACGACGTCTCGATCCGAGAGGTTGGTCGCCCGGAAACCGCGAGTTGAGGCGTCAACAGGAGGCAGCCGACGAGCGCAAGGCCGAACAGCCGAGCCATACGTTTGTTGCATGCAGCAAAAGCCTGTTGACGGTCTGACAGACGGACAACTGTAAAGGACAGACAAACAGACAGATTGACGGACTGACGTATCCGACCAATCCGACAGCCCAAAGGGGGGCCGCGTTCCGTCCAAACCTGGCGACGTCTCAAAAGAAGGACTTGTCTGCTGAACTGATTGGGCCACGGCTCAGTCAATGGGTCGGATCATTTCCCCAAAATGCAATCCTCACTCCCTTTTCCAACAGCATCAAACTTACATGTACATGCTGATCTGGTTGCCATGGCAAAGATCGTATATACGAGTGAGTCTAGGGCAAACGAGAAGAATGATACCTTATTGTGGGTTGTGGTAGCAGCCGATGAATGTAGAGTGAAGTA